TGTGCAGATGTTTGTAAACATGAGTTGGCTGTCGCACACTGCATGAAGTTGAAGCTGGCATGGCCCTTTCTGTTTATGTAGGCATCCCTGTTGTTGGAGGGTCCCCTGATGGTAATCTGGGTGCCATCTATACACCCAATCACCCCTGTGAACCTCGTTTTTCTCTCAAACGCTGCCTCTACCACTGGCAGTGCTCTACAGAAGGCCACTTCACATAGTCAGACACCAGCTAGGTGAGGCCTGTGACCACTTGAATGAAGTGGTGATGCAATGTTCCTTTGCGGAAGATGAAACGGTCCGCCACTCCCCTGAAACTTTCCTGGTTGGCCATCAGCCACAGGGAGGCCAATACCCTATTTTCAATGGGTCGACCTCTATGGGGCACTGGAGGAGCCAGGTCCTCACACAGTATCTGGAACAAAGAAAAATAAGAATATGTTAGCTCTGTCTTTCAGCTGAGAACACTCAACAATCTTCAATAATCTGTTATTCATTAGTGTTGTTGCATTACTGCACAATTGCAATGCAAAATCTGCCAGTAGATGGCGACAGTAGCATATTGATAGGCAGTTTACATAGATTTACAGTGCAGAGTGTCTTTAATATTATAGCTTATGAGGACGGTGTTACTAAATTAATGAATTATTGGTAAATCATTACTTTTTACGTCTGGACACTGAAACATCATGTTTGACCTATATTTTGATATATATGCAAATATATACAGTACCAGTCAAAAGTTTGAACACACCTACCATTCAAGCGTTTTTCTTCATTTTTACTATTTTTTACATTGTAGAATAATAGTGAAGATATCAAAACTATGAAATAACACATATGGAATCATATAGTAACCAAAAAAGTCTTAAACAAATCAAAATACACTTTATATTTGAGATTCTTCAAATAGCCACCCTTTGCCTTGATGACAGCTTTGCACACTCTTTGGCATTCTCTCAACCAGCTTCATGAGATAGTCACCTGGAATGCATTTCAATTAACTGGTGTGCCTTCTTAAAAGTTAATTTGTGGAATTTCTTTCCTTCTTAATGCGTTTGAGCCAATCAGTTGTGTTGTGACAAGGTAGGGGGGTATACAGAAGATAGCCCTATTTAGTAAAAGACCAAGTCCATATTATGGCAAGAACAGCTCAAATAAGCCAAGAGAAACAACAGACCATCATCACTTTCTTTCTTTCTTTCATCATCATTATAAGATTTCTTTCTACTTTGAAAGTTTCTTCAAGTGCAGTTGCAAAAATCATCAAGCGCTATGATGAAACTGGCTCTCATGAGGACTGCCACAGGAATGGAAGACCCAGAGTTACCTCTGCTGCAGAGGATAAGTTCATTAGAGTTACCAGCCTCAGAAATTGCAGCCCAAATAAATGCTTCAAAGAATTCAAGTAACAGACACATCTCAACATCAACTGTTCAGAGGAGACTGTGTGAATCAAGCCTTCATGGTCGAATTGCTGCAAAGAAACCACTACTAAAGGACACCAATAAGAAGAAGAGACTTGCTTGGGCCAAGAAACACGAGCAATGGACATTAGACCAGTGGAAATGTGTCCTTTGGTCTGGTCTCCAAATGGGAGATTTTTGGTTCCAACCGCCGTGTCTTTGTGAGACGCAGTGTGGGTGAACAGATGATCTCCGCATGTGTAGTTCCCACCGTAAAGCATGGAGGAGGAGGTGTTATGGTGTGGGGGTGCTTTGCTGGTGACACTGTCTGTGATTTATTTAGGCACACTTAACCAGCATGGCTACCACAGCATTCTGCAGTGATACGCCATCACATCTGGTTTGGGCTTAGTGGGACTATCATTTGTTTTTCAACAGGACAATGAACCAACACACATCCTGGCTGTGTAAGGGCTATTTTACCAAGAAGGAGAGTGATGGAGTGCTGCATCAGATGACCTGGCCTCCACAATCCCCTGACATCAACGCAATTGAGATGGTTTGGAATGAGTCGGACCGTGGAGTGAAGGAAAAGCAGCCAACAAGTGCTCAGCAGATGTGGGAACTCCTTCAAGACTGTTGGAAAAGCATTCCAGGTGAAGCTGGTTGAGAGAATGCCAAGAGTCTGCAAAGCTTTCATCAAGGCAAAGGGTGGCTATTTGAAGCTATATTTTGATTTGTTTAACACTTTTTTGGTTACTACAGGATTCCATATGTGTTATTTCATAGTTTTGATGTCTTCACTATTATTATACAATGTAGAAAATAGTAAAAAAATAAAGATAAACCCTTCAATGAGTAGGTTTGTCCAAACTTTTGACTGGTACTGTATATATTTTTGCTTTTAATTCAGTTGCATAAGAGGAAATTCTACTGACCAAACACAACATGTATGGAGATGGCAAAGCTGTGGTTGGCTAGCTAGCTAGATCATTGAGTCTGGGCTTGTTTGTATTATGATTGATTTTATTCAGGAAATCAGACAGCATATTATAAAGAATACATCTGATACAAAATTCAATATGCGAAAATATTGCAAATTACCTGGAAGATCTCCCGACCCATCTGAAAGTGAGCCCGAAAGGAGAGGTCACTGTATGTCGGGATCACCTCCTCCACATAATTCAGTATTCTTCAATCCCAGCAATATGGACTGCTAGTAGGGGAAGCAGTGCTTCAATAGGATCGGGACAAAATCAAAAGAATCTTACACAATTTTTCCAGCTGCAGCAAGAAGAGCAGCTCTGCTCTTTCCAAGAACTAACAGAAATGGAACGTTCGTGTTAAAAACGTTCAACAAAATCTATTGAAAGCAAACATAGTTTGCCGCGAGCGATTGCAAACAGAAGCCTTGTTGAAACCATATCTGGTGTCACAGCTCTAAAACAGTTGGCGTTCCAAGCTGCAGCATTGCAGAGGCGTTGTGCAAATGATCGACTTGTTAACAGACCTGCTACACTGGACATGTGATTTTTGCCCAACCTGAGCCACTACTTCTGCCTTTTTCTTTTAGATCTGAGGCTGATCAGATCTGTATCAGATCTCTGCAAATGTGGAAATAGTGTTTGACATGGCAGGGAACCGACCTATTGATGGGATAATCTGTGCAACGCGTCTGCAATATAGTCGACCTGAAATGCGACCAGTAGTCACTGCTTCTCACAATAACACACACTCTGTGAGCAAAGTAACCCGTAACATTTAACACAGGTAAAATTGTAATCTGCAGCACAATTTATGTTTATTTATTTACTTTTCTTGAACTATGTCCATTAAGTAAACAGAGTTTAAGTAAACAGCGCAATAAAAGTGGTGCACGCAATGCAATGACGAGGTGCAGCATTAGGAGTTCCTATCTAAAAGCATTATGGTTCGTCAGCCAAAAATGCCATCCCATGAGTAAAGGTGGGGAACTGGCTGGAGGGACAGATTTGAGTAACCCTATGGAAATAAATGTGTGACCCAATTAGTCTTTCAGACATTCTTACTGACCACACTCTTTGATACTTGTTACTGTACCTCACTACCACAGGAGGTTGGTGGCACCTTAATTGGGGAGGATGGGCTCGTGGTAATGGCTGGAGGGGAATCAGTGGAATGGTATCAAATATGATGCCATTCCTTTTGCTCCGTTCCAGCCATTATTATGAGCCGTCCTCCCCTCAGCAGCATCCACTGTTCACTACATACTACTACATACGTCATATACAAGGAATTTCTATATCTTTGATATAAGACAATATGGGAGAGGTTTCATCTGTTAGAATTTATAGGTATGTAGCTATGATTTCATTCAACTTTAGCTATAAATTCCCAAAGTTTCCATACAGTTAATTACCATAGTATACTCGACACCTCTATGTCAGCGTTGGAGAATCAGTCAAAAGCAAAAGGTGGAAACCTGCACATTGTTTTAATAAGATAATAAAATGATCCTAATCTACACTGGCTTGTGGTAGAGCTGTACACAATGCAACCTTGGTTCATATTGCAGGAAAAAAGGGCAAAACACAAGTGCAATAGCTAAACTGACAGTATGCAGGTTTTTACCTTTTTGATTGAGTAACCCAGAAATACTTTGGTAAAACAGTAAGCTACACACAAGATTCAATTACAGTTTCTTTGTTCTATCAATATCTATACCCATATACATTTAAATACATATAAAATAATTTAGGATATTGATTGTAAGATGAGAAAATTGACATTGAAGAGTATGGAGGGAGAACATCGAATACGGTCATTCAATTTGGATTGAATGTTTGAGAATAGTGAATCCTAAGAAACAAAGAAAGGCAGCCTTAATGTTGTATATTTTCTTTACTCAAGTACAGTATATGCAAGTCTTTCTGTATTCCGAAATACATTTATTTAAGTCAAATCATATATGATCAAATCAAATCAAATTGTATTTGTCACATGCGACGAATACAACCTTACAGTGAAATGCTTACTTACAAGAACTTAACCAACAATGCATTTTTAAGATTATGGTCAGATATATTGGCACCATTGTACTTTACAATGGAGTGCAATGGAGCAGAATGTTCAGTTTTGGCTGAAGGCTGTGTTTACCTATAGGCACCTGCAACTTACCACAGGTGAGATAAATTACACAATCAACGAGAATCATTGCCTCCAATCATATTAATTTGAATTTTAAACAAGGCAACAGTAAACATGTCATCCCCCACGAATGAATCAGAGCATTGAACGTGCGCCAAGTTTCCTAGTCCAATGTTTAAGCCAGTGTCTCCATTAAAGGTTGTGGGTCTTCCAGCTGGAGAACAACCCCAAACAACACACATCAAAAACCACCCAGGAATGGTTAAGAAGCGATGCTGGACTGTTCTGGAGTGGCCAGTGAAGAGTCCAGATCTGAATCACATCCAAAACCTATGGCAAGATCTGAAAACAGCAGTTGGTGGAGGACACCCCTAAAATATTTAAGAATTAGAGCAGTTTGCGGCTGAAAAGTGGGCCAGATTGTCAGTAGAAATGTGCAGCAAGCTCATTAATTAATACAATAAGCAATACAACTAAAGTTTACAAAAATAAAATAGGTTCTCTTATGTTGAAAATCCAATAACAAGGTGTGGTGACCCAGTTTTCAACTTATTTGAGAAGAAATAGGGAATTTAATAAAAGTGCAAGGGTGCCAATATATTTGGCCGCAACTGTAAATGTTATCTGTATATGATTCATATACTGTAGACCCTTTTCCAAATGGGTGGATAGGTAGACAGACAAACATCTTGTTGTTTTACACGGTCGGTTTGGACAAGGTCTTTAGGTCTTTTTTTATCTTGTACTTGGCCAGCATCTGCTCAATGACCTTCTTGACCCAGAGAGCGCTGACGTCCAAACAAATCTCCTTACTGCTCCCCTTCAGAGTGGCTCTGCAAGACAGGCACACCGCACAGTGAGAAACAGAACTAACATTACCACAACCTGGAACTAACATTATCACAACCTAGAGCTAAATCAGCTTTTGTAAATGAAATAGGATGTTAGTAAGCAAGGACTCACATAGAATAATTTAAGATAAATATCTGAGTTTGAACATAACTATATTTGAGAGTCATTGTTAGTGTTATAACTCGACTAACAAAACATAATTTAAGATAATCAACATAACATTAGCCATATTTTTGTCAGCACTAACTTAATTAAATACGATTAATATATGATGGCCATAGTTGATATCAACATGATTTAAAACCCATATCAATATCAACTTATATATAATAGTCATATTTTAGGGTCAGCATGATTTAAGTCAGTAGTCTGAACTCACATGATCTCAGTGTCTTTGCAGTGCGAGCTGGGAGGGAACATCTCTACCTTGTCGATGAGTTTACCAATCCGACGTCTCTCCATCTGGATGCAGCGACAACGTAAGTCTGACCCCAAGTCACCTAGGCTCATCCCTGTAAAAGGTCAGAGGTCAGTTTTAGACTACATCATATTAGGGTATGGGGGGTAGAAGTAAAAAAATTTTGAATGAAAGAAGCAAACTTTTAATTGTTAAAGACTCCAGCCACCCACGCCATAGACTGGTCTCTTTGCTTCCGCACGGCAAGCAGTACCAGAGCAACAAGTCTGACATCAACAGGCTCCTGAACAGCTTCTATCACGGCTCCTGAACAGCTTCTATCACCAAGCCATAAGACTGCTAAATAGCTAACAGCCTGGCTACACATACTATCTGCATTGACCCTTCTATTTGATTTTTGATTTTTGCACTGACCGTATGCACACTCACACGCTCACTGACACTGACACTCCAACACACACACTAACACACACACTTAATTTGCTCACACACACATAACACGCACACACATTCTTACTGACTCTACACACATGCACACACACTCACATACAATCATCATATACGCTGCTGCTACTCTGTTTATCATATATCCTGATGCCTAGTCACCTTACCCCAATACATATCTAACACTCCCACTCCAGTGTCCATGCACATTGTAAATATGGTATTGCCACTGACCCTGGAACTGACCTTGAATATATATAGCTTACGTACTTTCTCGTGTTCTTCTTATTTCTGTTTTTCGTGTGTATTTGTTCTACTTTACATTTTTATAGTACTACTGATATTTTGGGAAAGCGCAAGCAAAAAAGACATTTCACTGTTCTTGTGCACGTGACATTAAAAACGTGAAACTTGAAAAGCTTTAAATCAAACTACACACTGTAGTCCAGTCTCTTTAATGAACAAATTAATCTTTCAAATCGAATTATTAACAGTTAGATCATATGACCACGATTCAACTCATGAAAAGCCTAACAGTCGAATGAAATGCACACCTCTCATGTAATATAATTGGAGTCAAATCAAAGGTAATACTGTCTGTTCATTCAGCTCTTTAGGATTTGATTCAAGCGATGTCTGTTTCATTGGAATGGTGCGACTTTCATTTTAAAGCTGTCACTCCCCTATAACATGTCAATCATATTGCTATGCCTAGGATGTCGCAGTCTAGGGATGCTTTCTTTTTAGTTTAGCTCGCCCGGTGACCCGGTCTGCTAAATATGCTGAAATCAATTATCAGAAGTTTTATCCTTCAATGTTTGTCTCTGCCACATGCGTTTTGTTGTTGTCTCATTTTCAACTTCACCCGTAATAGCCAGTATCGCCATCGGTTCTGAGTGGGGCATTCAGAGTTCCCCGCCGGGGAATTTGAAATCGAGTGCTAACTCTGCCCACCTAGCAAGGACCGAACATCCCCGCTTGCAAAATGAGTGAGCAGATGCATGGGCTGGGTAATTGGATTGACAGGTTAGGAAGCAACAGCTTTCAAAGAATCGTTCCACCATTCAAATGAAACAGAAAAGGCTTGAATCAAATCCTAAAGAGCTGAATACACAGTCACAGTATTACCTTTGATTACACTTCAATTACATAACATGCATTTCATTCGACTGTTAGGCTTTTCATGTTTCAAAGGTGAGCATTATTCATTCAAGAAACTGGACTACAATTAGAAATTTGATCTAATGCTTGTTTGTTTCATTCCTTGCTTGTTACCGTAATTCAATAATTTATGTGAGTTACAACACTCATAATTGGGAGCCATGATTGGCTTGATAGAAATGAGATTTATATTTAAATAGGCAGATGTAGTTGTTACTCAAATACTCACATACTGTACTGTCAGAAATACAAATTATCTCTAAAAGGTATTTCTTCACTTATTGTTGCTATTGTCTACCCTTGACTCTTACACTGAGATTGATGCAGTTAGGGCCTGATGCCCCGTTAAATGCAGAGAACTTTGAATGTTTTTCTATGTTGTGTCCTGGGATAAACCATACGCCTGCCCCGCTATTGCACTGGAGAACACCCATTCGACATAGGAGAAACCGCACGCTTGCATGTCTGGATTGTTCTTTTGGTACTTAACCATGTCTCTGGATTGTACGCACCTTTTGAAATATGTTGTGTTAAAGACTCTGGTCCCTCTGGACAATGGTTTTAGTACTGTCTGTGAATCCAAATGTCTAGACTTGCCATTATGTTGCTGCTTTTACTGTCAGGAAATAGGCAATCTAACCCAGGTCTTACATTTCTACCCAATCTGAATTAAAAAGTCAGAATGGTCTGAAGTTTCAGCACATACATTTAAGAAGTATTCTTCCGATTTTGTGAATATTAGGATAAAAACCGCAGACCTATATGTATTTATGCTTTCTGAAACCTGGCTCAAAATATCTATGACTGACAAAGACATTGGCATTGATGGTTACAATGTTTTTCAGTCAGATTGCAAATGTAAGTGTGGTTATGTTGCTATAAAAGGCACGTTTTCGGCGACCATTCTGACTACTGTTACCAAACCCAAGCAACTTGAATATCTGGCTTTGAATATAAATCTCTGCGCATCCTTAAATCTAGTTGTCTCCTGTTGTTATAGACCCCCATATGCTATTGCTAGCTCTCTGGATTCTATTTTTGAATTATTATCACAGAATGTCAAATCTGAATTTGTGATTATGGGTGACCTGAATCTAGACTGGTTGACATCCAACTCTGATCAACTCAAGAATCTATGTAATACCTATAATATTACTCAGATTGTTAACAATGTAACCAGGTTTAATGCAAACTGTCCTCTAAAATCCTCTTTGATTGGTCTAATTTTAACCAACACTCCACATCGTTTTAATGCTTCTGGTGTTACCATTTGTTCTTAATTGACTAGCCTGGTTAAAGGTTCAATAAAACAAAATGTATAATAAGTACATTATATGTTGATACCTTTACTTATTTTACTGCATAGGGTGTCAATGCATTGTGTCAAAGTAATAATAGAGTAGAATTTAATATAGACTCACCCTCGGTGATGGTCAGGAGGCCCAGGAGCACACCGATAGAGCTGGCTGATATTCTGATGCTCATCTTCATCTTAGCGAAAAACTGGAGTTCAAGTAACTAGACGATGAGGTAATTTGATCCTAAGACAAGCTGGAGTTACAGTAACTGTGGTCCTGCTGGATGCCTAAGCTCGAACAACAAAATAAACCATTAGTAGTTTATTAGATATTACTCTGTTTATCGTTGTGAGATTGCTGGTCCTGGGTTAAGTATTTAATTGTTGTATTAAAACCACATTTAGATTAAGTTTACTGCTGCTGATCCCCTGTAATGCAATTTGATCCACTGTGTGCATGTGTTCTATATGTCAACTTGCTGGTTTTAAATGCTTTTAAAGAAGTTGTATTTCTTGAGTCCCTGTCTCTTAGTATGATTCAGTCTCATTATCTGTCTGTCTCTCTGTGTGGAGAGGCACCAGTCTTTTATATACAGGCAGTAAAGGGAATCACTAGTCAGGCCAGGTTTGGTTGTGACATCTTCGGAATCAACTCTTATCTAAACCAGTTGTCGGATTTTTGGAATCAAAGTAAAACCACAGAAATGTTTTGACTTTACGTTCAATGGCCTTCAGAGGGTCATCCGATTGGCTGAACTCCAAGAAAAACATGGTCTTACACCATTTGGTCTGGTCTTTTGCGCAACCTGGGGAAAGTTGAAGAGGCCCTGGGGGTGCTGGGCATTCATCAGGCCAGTTTTAGAAAAGCGAGTTCAACCACAGACAACACTTTTCTTGATTCAGGGAACACTTTTGCAAAACAGTTAATGCAGCCCACTAAACTGCATTTCTCTTGCAAAATGCACTAACACTATCAAAACGTTAAATATATATTTTGTATAACTTTATCAAACAAGTATAATTTGTCATCTAATGAGATCTTTTGCGAAATGAACTAACACCATCTCAACTTAAAATACATGTTACAAAAGCAGCAAACTCAATCAAAACAGTACCATTAGTCATCAAATGAGATAATCTCACAATTGATTGCATAATGGCTCAACAAATACTAACTATAACCATCAAAATACCACCTTTTTATATGAAATAAAACCTCTTACGTAAAACATGATGGGGCCTCTCTGCAAAAGCAACATGGAATACAGTCATATTGAAAGTAATTCCAATTACTGTAAAACGGAGTGACAAGTGACTGTTCAATTCCATTCTCTGGGGGACCATGAAAGAGACCAACTGTTGAAATTGAACCTAGCTTTTCAGTTGCTTTTGATACCACTTATTTTGTCTGCACACTTAAGTCACATATGAGTTACAAAGTGAAGTTAGAAATGACTTTATAGCCTAAAACCTTTAATTGTGTTCTGATGCTGATAATCAGCTGTTCCATGTGGGATAGTCTGAAGACTTTGCAGTGCGTTTCATAGTGGTAAGCTTGCTGTGTGTGTCAAAAACAGGTCCCAAAAACGGAGATCTCAGGCCACCACAGACATAACGGTTTCAAGGGTTTTTATCTTACAGTCATCTCGGGGTCACACCATTCACACACATTCACACCAACCATACGCTCAGTCCCAGAGATAGTCCATGGTGCTGGAGGGTAGTTAAGATGGCCGCTGCCACCACCCATCAGTTGCTCATCTGCCTTTGTAATGTCAAAAACATGTCAAGGTTCCAGGCCATCACACAGACAAGATTTTGGTTTAAACGTGAATTCTTTATAAAGGACTTCAGGCAACATGTTCCACCACAAAATGTGCCCAGATTTCTCTATTGAGGCTCATGTCAAATGTAAGTGATTTGCTTATTTTTTAAATAAAAATACAGACTCAGAGCTTCAAAATGATATATCGTACACTGTAGTTCGGAAAATGATGCTGCTTAAAAAGTTAATAAACTTGTTATCTCACATTTACATTACATTTTAGTCATTTAGCAGACGCTCTTAACCAGAGCGACTTACAGGAGCAATTAGGGTTAAGTGCCTTGCTCAAGGGCACATTAACGTCATTTAGCAGACGCTCTTAGCCAGAGCGACTCACAAATTGGTGCGTTCACCCTATAGCCAGTGGGATAACCACTTTACAATTTGGGGGGGGGGGGGGGGGGGGGTTAGAAGGAATACTTTAGCCTATCCCAGGTATTCCTTAAAGAGGTGGGGTTTCAAATGTCTCCGGAAGGTGGTGAGTGACTCCGCTGTCCTGGCGTCGTGAGGGAGCTTGTTCCACCATTGGGGTGCCAGAGCAGCGAACAGTTTTGACTGGGCTGAGGGGGAGCTGTGCTTCCGCAGAGGAAGGGGAGCCAGCAGGCCAGAGGTGGATGAACGCAATGTCCTCGTTTGGGTGTAGGGACTGATCAGAGCCTGAAGGTACAGGGGTGCCGTTCCCCTCACTGCTCCAAAGGCAAGCACCATGGTCTTGTAGCGGATGCGAGCTTCAATTGGAAGCCAGTGGAGTGTGCGGAGGAGGGGGGTGACGTGAGAGAACTTGGGAAGGTTGAACACCAGACGGGCTGCGGCATTCTGGATGAGTTGTAGGGGTTTAATGGCACAGGCAGGGAGCCCAGCCAACAGCGAGTTGCAGTAGTCCAGACGGGAGATGACAAGTGCCTGGACCAGGACCTGCGCCGCTTCCTGTGTAAGGCAGGGTCGCACTCTCCGAATGTTGTAGAGCATGAACCTGCAGGAGCGGGTCACCGCCTTGATGTTGGCGGAGAACGACAGGGTGTTGTCCAGGGTCACGCCTAGGCTCTTCGCACTCTGGGAGGAGGACACAGCGGAGTTGTCTACCGTGATGGCGAGATCATGGAACGGGCAGTCCTTCCCGGGGAGGAAGAGCAGCTCCGTCTTGCCAGGGTTCAGCTTGAGGTGGTGATCCGTCATCCATACTGATATGTCTGCCAGACATGCAGAGATGCGATTCGCCACCTGGTGATCAGAAGGGGGAAAGGAGAAGTGCCTTTGAAGTAGGAGAAATGCCTTTGAAAGATTGATGAGATTCACACTTCCTAGAGCTCTTTAGGCCCATTCAGCATCATTCACACCCTCTTAAGCCTCCAGAAAGCAGTCGTTAATTAAACCCAGCTAAATTCAGGGAAGCAGTGTTTGAGAGCTGTAGCAACACTTTTGCAGTTGTCCATAGCTATACTGAACAAAATTATAAACGCAACATGCTACAATTTTCTAAGATTTTACTGAGTTACAGTTCATATAAGGAAATCAGTCAATTGAAATAAATAAATTAGGCCCTAATCTATGGATTTCACATAACTGGTAATACAGATATGCATCTGTTGGTCACAGATACCTTCAAAAAAAAATGTCAGAGGCGTGGATCAGAAAACCAGTCAGTATCTGGTGTGACCACTATTTGCCTCATGCAGTGCGACACGTCCTTCACATAGAGTTGATCAGGCTGTTGATTGTGGCCTGTGGAATGTTGTCCCACTCCTCTTCAATGGCTGTGCAACGTTGCTGGATATTGGCAGGAACTGGAACACGCTGTCGTACACGTTAATCCAGAGCATCCCGAACATGCTCAATGGGTGATATGTCTGGTGACTATGCAGGCCATGGAAGAACTGGGACATTTTCAGCTTCCAGGAATTGTATACAGATCCTTGCGACATGGGGCCGTGCATTATCATGCTGAAACATGAGGTGATGGCGGTGGATGAATGGTACGACAATGGGCCTCAGGATCTCAATGCATACTGAAAACACAAAGGGGAGAAGCAGAGCAAGGGTAAGGAGTAGGCCATTCTCACAGTATCATTCAGTCTCACTTACACAGGTAATTGTTCGTCCCCATCTGGGAAGTGGTGTGCATTGCAGCAGTAGCAACTCTGCGTTCTCTCTCTCTCCCTCTCTCTCTTTCTCTATGTTTCCCCCGTTGTAGATCTCAGAACTGAGCTCTCTGCTCCCTTTTAAACGGTCCATTGGCTCGTTAAGGTGCACAGGTGTGCCAGGCCAGGGTTTAGTCAGTCTTAGTGAAACACAACGAGAACAGCAAACCAAAAGGGATCATGCAAAATAAAAGTAAGCACACAATAATTAATCAATCAAGATAAGGCTACTGCACTCAAAATAAGCATATCGCACCAAAAAGGTTTTTCTTTATAAAATGCAAAAATAACCGGCTGGCACCTCCGACGTGTTTGACAGAAGAGTTATGCCAGTACAGACATGCCCTCTGACATCAAGAAGACACTTTCAGGTAAAAGATTCCCTGAGGATCCAGCATGACTTTTTGGTTGCATGGTTTCTATAACTTGCATAATTGACTATCATGAACAAACACACACGTGCAGGGTGTGTGAAGCAAGGTGACTTCAGGATGTGGGCGTGGGCTGGTGCGTTGTCCCTACCTGTTGTAGCTGAAAGAAATGTCAAGTGTTAAAGGGTAAAGGTTATAGTGGTTATAGCTCATAGAAGGGGACTGTTTTACTGCGTCAAAGTCACCTGGGGAAAATAGAAAAAGTCACCTGAAGAAAAGGAGGGAAGATGATGACTCGGAAGAGGAACGTAACATTGCAAGAACTCCTGAGATTGGAATTTGGGACTCCTCTTCCCTCTCTTTATTTAAACATACACTCCCCTCTATATTTTTTGGGATAGTGCAGCTAAAACTTTTATTTTTGGCTCTACACTCCAGCATTTTGGATTTGAGACAGAACGGAATGTCACCTTTTATTTGAAGGTATTTTCATACATATCTGTTTCACAGTGAAGTTGCTATAAATGACACAGAGTCTGAACAATAATGGGCAGGGTTTAAATCAAATCAAATAAAATAAAATGTTATTGGCCACATGCGCCGAATACAACAGGTGCAGACATTATAGTGAAATGCTTACTTACAGCCCTTAACCAACAGTGCATTTATTTTTTAACAAAAAAGTAAGTGTTGAGAAAAAAAGAGCAGAAGTAAAAGAAAATACTGGAGTGAAATAAAATACTAGTGGCTGGAGTCTTTGACAATTTTGAGCGCCTTCATCTGACACCGCCTGGTATAGAGGTCCTGGATGGCAGGAAGCTTGGCCCCAGTGATGTACTGGGCCGTACGCACTACCCTCTGTAGTGCCTTGCGGTCGGAGGCCAAGCAGTTGCCATACCAGGCGGTGATGCAACCAGTCAGGATGCTCTCGATGGTGCAGCTGTAGAATTTTTGAGGATCTGAGGACCCATGCAAAATCTTTTCAGTCTCCTGAGGGGGAATAGGCTTTGTCGTGCCCTCTTCACGACTGTCTTGGTGTGTTTGGACCATGATAGTTCGTTGGTGATGTGGACACCAAGGAACTTGAAGCTCTTAACCTGTTCCACTACAGCCCCGTCGATGAGAATGGGGGCGTGCTCAGTCCTCTTTTTTTTCCTGTAGTCCACAATCATCTCCTTTGTCTTGGTCACGTTGAGGGAGAGGTTGTTGTCCTGGC